TCTATCTCATCCCCCCCCCCCCCCCCCCGGGACCCCCTAAAGATAACAAATGGAGCGGTATGAGTAGGGATGGCAACGGGACCCCTACCCTGCCTCCCGTCTCGTTGCCTATTAATTCCCTCTATATGTTATACAATTTAATTATAATCAAATTTTAACAAATAATTAAATATTAAAATATCAACATATCGTCAAATTATTATTCATTATAATTTTATAATTAAAATTCATAAAAATAATCAAACAAAAGCTATTTGAATACAATTCAATCTGATAAAACAAATACAATTAAAGTAGTCAAGTTTTCACTTTTGACACAAATACAATCACTAAATCATTATTGTATTTTTATTTAAGAAAAAGAGTGTTATTATATCAAGTATAATTAGGAATTTAGTATAAATGTATTAATAAATTTAATATAACTAATTAATAATTTCTATTAGTAGACATATATGATTATTAGTATGATTGATAATATCAATTATATTACATATACCAATATATATTATATAATATATATAACTAATAATATCATTATTATAAATTTGTAATTAATTAAATTAAATATTATATATATAATTTTATATATATTTATTAATTTTTTTATCAAATTACAGGACGGGCGATGGGGTGAAGGTATACTCCCCCGCTTCATTTCTCAATGGAAGGGAAGGGGAGGGGAGGGGGGATTCCCCCATTAGTCGCATGTGGACACCCGTCCCAATTACCATTCCTATCTCGAGGCCCCTCCCCCAAAAAAGGTTTTAACATGGGCTGTTAAAATATTGATGTAAATGCCATGATGGGCTATTTGATTATTGAGTGAAAACTGGTGATTGGCCCAATTTGAAGGGGTCAGTGGATCAGTGCAGTGCCCCAGTTCCAGCAGAGCACCAATAGGAGATGAACTCTAGCTGGAGGCGGTGCTGATGCCTCCCAAGACGGTGCCATATCAACCCCTGACGCTGACGTGAGATAACGGTATTTCTTTGAAATACGCGCCGAAACGTAGCAGATAACAGTAGTGACACTGCCACATCATCAAATCATTGGGGGCCCATCCTCCTTTCTTGATACTTGCATTGGAGTAGCACCACACTGACCTGGATCATTGATCGATGCTCCTTTAACCCTGGGACGGGACCAATGCAGCCATTTTTATGCAGTGAAAGAAGTTCAGCTTAAAAAAAAAAAAAATTCAGCTTAGCTTACCAATTCTCAAAAAATAAAAAATCAGAAAAAAAAAAAGAATACAAGAGATTAGAGGTGGCAATTTGTCTCAAGTCCCACTGGGCTACTCATGCCCGAAGGGACTTTGGTTTGGATGGATATTATAATTTGATATTGGGTTTAAAATGGGATGCATCCCAATTGTACCCATTATTTGATGGGAAATGTTGGGAAATACTTGGGTAGCCATTGGGCCCAAATATCTTTCCAAAAAATTTCATTTATCCAAAAATTCATCTTTGATTTTTTTTTTTTTGGCAAAAATTTGATTTTTTTTCACTTCCATTTTCCTTCTTTTCCTTTCTTCACTTTCCTACAAAAAGAAAATCAATTAAGTAAAAATGATTTCATCTAAACAACTTAAAAAAATAAAGATAACAATAAAAATAAAATGAATTGATAAAATTTTGGTATCTACAAGAATCAATGCTTTACTAACAACTGTCGGCACCGCTTTATGTTGAATTTATGCTAATTATTGAACTATCTACATAGATTTCTATATGCAACCATGTTATCAATTTTCAATCAGTTTCTTCGTTTCTGTGCTAGCTTTATTCAACATTTAATGTGAATTTCTTTTGTATCAATTTTTGGAAATTTTAAGAATGTCAGTAAGAATGAATTTGGTGTTAAAAAATCTTGTTTCCAGTCCTTGTGTCAGACAGCATTATGTCATATTTAGTTAGAGACAATTACTAACCTTACCCATATCCTTGGATAGTGATGAGGATAAATGTTCAATAGCCTCAGTACCTTGGCTATCTTGATATATGTTGGAATATGGTTGGATATCTATCTTTTCCTTTATATGTTAATTCAATTTTTGGTTTAATCCAAGGAGAAGATGTGTTCATTTTTACCAAAATATTATGTCTTTTTAAAGTAACTGTTGATCATTCTAAAGTATAAATGAATTCAGGAAAATATAAATTCACAATAAGATCAATAGAAATTTAATAAATAAAAATATTAAAGTTATATAAAAAATGAAAAAGAATTAAAGAAAAAAAATATAGAAAATAGATTTGGGTATTGGACGGGATCAATCTAAACCCATCACAAAGTGATTCCGCCCAAGTTAGTCCCAAAATACATATGGATAAGGTTAGACCCAAACCGATATAACTCAGTTCCACTTCGAACCCAAGCAAATCCTGCCTATCTCGCCCATTTTGCCACCTATACAAAAGATGAAATAGTACTCCGACCACAAAGACAACAATAATTAATATCTTTGAATGTGATTGTGTCAGTTTGGACGTTGCTGTAAAAGTTTCGTAAAAATTTTCTTTAACTATACATATGGAAACAATTAATCAAGTAGAGTTAAAAGAGGAAAAGAGGGGGGGGGGGGGGGGTGGGTGAGACATACCTAAGCTCAAAATTCCCCAAATCCCCGCAAGTATCCCTAGTACCGATAACAATTCTTGCTCATTATATTCCCAAATCTTCAAATACTTATTGAAGAGTTAGTAAGAAGAAACAAAATCGCATGGATTTTGTGAGTTGGAGAAGTGTAGCTTGGGTTTTTGTTTTGTTTTTTTTTTGTGTTTAAAACATTGAACAAGGTATATAATTAATTATAAATGTTGGGATCCTTAAATCTGAACAAGTGGGGGCACTAAATGCAAAATTGAGGTTTAGGGGGATGCATTCTAACTCTCACTTAACAAGAATGCACAGCGTGGGACCTTGAGCTTAATTTCCTTCCAATGAGCCAACAACAATGGACCTTCAAACATCCAAAATCCCTACAAATAAAGAGCATTACGGATACTATAATAAATCAGAACAAAATGCCACTTATATTGCTGTTGAAGTTCGGACAAGCGCCTTCAATGTCCAAACGTTTGAGGTTCAAACAGTACATACGGCATAGTAGTATTGTACATTGGGATTTGACTGAAATTTGATTCGGTAGAAACTACTAAACAAAAGTGATTAATTAAGAGGAGGAGGAGCATTTTCATTTTGGCTGCTTGCTTGTTAGGCTGGAGCTGCAGATGGGGCAGCCTCGCACATGGGTCAGATCAGATGTGGAGAATACAGAATAGAGAGAGAGCTTTTAGTTAAAGGGATGTAGTATTAAGTAAATATTTTTTTATTTTAAAAGGAATCTGCCTCTTTCGGCCCAACTTAACTACCCTCCCCCCAGAGAGAGACAGAGACAGAGAGTCCTTCTCTGCATGTGATGTGGCGGGTTTTCGACTTTGGACTTCCAAACTTCGTGCAGCCAGCCACCACTATAACTCTATCGATGGCTGCTTCAATCACACATACATACATACATACATATATATATATATATATATATATATGTACAACAATAGTGAGTGAGATCAATAATATAAACTGATTACAAACCATTCAATTGAAAAACACATTTAGCGAGACTTAAGACTACTAAATTCTAAGATCTTTTTAATCTTGAGCATTAGATCAGAACTTCATTATTGTTTCTCCTAAAGCCTCGATTGTTCACCAGTAGCGAATTTTGCCGCCTAATTGGCAGTTTTCCAATAATTACGGTTAAGATATAGAATCCGCGTGCCGCCGTAACAATTTCAAATAATTACTCTAGACTGTAAAAGCATACCTTGCTTGGATTGTTTTAAAAAGATATTACTACGTTTTTCGTAAACATATTTTTCAATCACATTTTTATCTCACATATATTAAATTACTACAATAATTTTTTTTATAAAAAAAAAATCTAGAAAAATACAATCCAAACGAGACCTTATTAGATACTACGGACATAGGGAGGACGATATCCGGTTTTTTTTTTTTTTTTGGGTGGCCTTTTCTTACCTGTTCTCTTTTGTCAAAAGTTCAACAACTAGTGCGGACACACACACACACACGCACACACACACCCGAAAAAGTTTCTTTATTTAAAATTTTACTTATTTCTTCCCCACAAAAGACTTATCTTCCAAAAACATGGCAACTCATGTGCGCAGTTCAAATTAATTACTTACCAAATGAGAATAGATTACTTTTTTTTTTTGGTTATTATGAGAATAGATTACTTAATTTGGCAAAGCACAATGAATGGTTAATAAATTATGAAATTTTCTAATAAATATCCAGTGACACTCAGTAGCACACTTAAATTACATCCCTTATATTTAAACACTTACTTTTAAATTTCATATATATATATATATATATAACTAACATCGCTACAGTTTTTTTCTACAAAAAAATCATAGAAAATGCAATCCAAACACAATTTAATTATTTCGCTATACAAAATCTTTTAGAACAAACATGTAGATGAATTCATGTATTAGCGAGCAAGACAAGTGTTTTTGTAATTGCCAAAAGAAAAGTGGTATTTATTTTTCTGGCATCGCCTTAATATGCAACCCCCTTTGTTTAGCCCGTCTGATCAAATCCAACGTTTTAATACAGTCTTAATTCAAAGACGTTTGACCACAACCAAGTTATTATGTAACCAAATTAGTGTACTGGGACGATTTGATACATGTGATGTAAAAAGATGTGTTCGCGAAAAACGTAAATTTTTTTTTTCTTTTTTTTGCAAAATGGTTATAATCCCAACAAGGTTATAATAATACCATGCGAATCCCTTATCTAGTGTAAATTTGAGTAATCCAATCAAAACAGCCAATTAAAAGCCATTTAAATATGTGGCAAAACCGTTTTGTAATTATCTCAGGAAACCAAGGGCATTTACTAACCCCACCTCTACATATATCCTCTGCCGTCCGACCTTCCGAGCCCCCTCGCCTTCTCAGTTCAAGAGGTTCTCTTCCCTCAACTGTCTCTCTCTCTCTCTCGTGAAAGAAGAAATATAACCCAAAAAAAAACAAAAGAAAGAAAATGTCAGGGTGCAGCAAAATCCGGTACATTGTGAGACTCCGCCAAATGCTACGGCGGTGGAGGAAGAAGGCATCAATGACTGCCAAGCGCTTACCGTCGGATATACCTGCTGGACATGTGGCAGTCACTGTAGGGACCGATTGTAAAAGATTTGTGGTCCGGGCGACGTACTTGAACCATCCATTGTTTAAGAAACTATTGCTTCAGGCGGAGGAAGAATATGGGTTTACGAACTCAGGGCCACTGGCCATCCCCTGTGACGAGTCCCTGTTCGAAGAGGTTCTCCGCTACCTGTCCCTCTCTGAGTCGACTCACAGCAACTCAGCCCGATTCATGAATTTGGAGGAGTTCCAAAGATATTGCCACGTAGGCATCCGGAGCAACCTTGAGTTTCTAGCCGAGTCACGCCCCCTCCTCAACGGGATTGCCGATAAGTCCGTTTGGTGAGAGGGGGGGGGGGGATTGATGAATGAAGGTGGGCGAAGCTGATTCTTTTACCCGGATTTTTCTTCTTAAAAGGATGTTTTAATAATTCTTGATTTTTCGGAAATTGATTCCGGGAGGGTCCTGAATTACCCAGTCTACTGACTACTGAGTCGCGGTGGTACTGAGTCTGAGTCTACTCCGGAGAATGTGACGGAGATGGCAAGTAGGTGGGCAAGTAGCCGCCGAGTCGTCCCGGGTTCCAACCGGATGAGAACCAGCCAACAACAGAGGAAAGACGCCGTGTTCAAATTTTAACCTGCAGACCACCCCGCCTAATAAAATTTGCAAAATGCGGACGAGGAAAGCGAAGAGCAAGTTTGCGATTATGAGGGGAATTATTATTATTTTTTTAAAAAAGGACCTAAGGAATAATGATAAAGTCACTACTGTTTTGTACATCATTAATGTGATTTTTTTTTTATTTTTTACTTTCACTCATTAATGGTTGGAAATTGTAGAGAAATTCAAGCATGCTTGTCCATGTTATTATATTATATTGATCACTAATATTATGGATAGTAAGTTGTTCATGGCATTGTTTTACTCTTCTGGTACTTAAATAGTACTCCTCCATATAAATATATATGCTTATAAGTAGAGTAGTGACGATAATTGAGTATAACGTGCATGAGCAGTTGTGGAAGTTACACAGTAACAACCCATGTGAATGAAAGCAAGCGTGAGTTCAGGACGTGCCTTCTGCCTTTGTAGTATCATTTTGTTTTGTCCTGCACTTTTGTCTGAGATAAACAGGTTTGCACTCTGTTTGGATTGCAATTTTATTTGTAAAAAATGTACTGTAGTAATTTAATATATATATATATATATATGAGATAAAAAATAATTGAAAAATATATTCATAACAACACATAGAAATTTATATATATATATATGAGATAAAAAATAATTGAAAAATATATTCATAACAACACAGAGAAATTTTTTTGGGTGAAAAATGCCTTTCCAAACAAGGTTAGTTCTACCATCCTTTTCTCTCCACCTCTTCTTATTTCGTCTTTCAGATTCTTTTTATCCAATTTTTTGAGTGAATGATGATTTAGATATTTGCATGGATCGGCTGGAAAAGATTTGCTTGGATCAATAGGAACCGATCCACTTTAAGCGGAGTACCAAATGTAAATCACAGTCTATGTTACTGTTGGGTCAGCTTAGTTAAGAGTAGAAATTGGAGAAAAATTAAAAATAGTAGTAGTGGAACATCAATAGTTTTATGAAAATCAATAGTTGGTCTCTCATAAGTAATAAAAAGTAGTATCTATTAGAGTTAGCGAGCGTATTCGCTTCTGGAAAGATTACTGGGTGGGAAATTCATCGTTAGCGGATGATGTGTTGAAAGAGTTACCATAGGAAGTGATGGACAGGACAGTTAATCGGTATTGAGACGCCACAAGGGGCTGGAATTGGAACGAGTTCTCGGAATATTTACCGCAGCGGCGCTTGTTAGAGATTAAAGCGTTATGTGTCATGCCGGGAGAGCAGCATGGTGATGTAGTGTGCTAGGGATATGAGGTGAATGGAAGGTTCTCCACTCGATCAGCGTATGAGGTGGAATGTTTAGATTCGCTTGGGAGGGGGGGAAGCATGGATCGTGGTTGGGATAAAATTTGGCAACAGAAAGGACCTGGTAGATGGCAGTTTTTGTTATGGTTAATTCGACATGGGAGGTTGATCACCACCAATGCCGAAAAATATAGAAGACACCTGCATGTCGATGGCAAATGCCCTGTCTGCAAACGAGCGAGAGAATCGGTATTGCATGCTCTAAGAGATTGCTCTAGAGTTCAAAGAATCTGGGAGCGTCTGGTTCACCCCAATAGATGGGAAGAGTTTATGACCATCGATTATAGGGAATGGTTGGACTGGAACTTGAGAATGGTTAAGGTGGGAGTCCATGACGATATATGCTGGCAATTCATTTTTCAAGAAATGGTGTACTCAGCTTGGAGGACGAGGAATGAGATTAACATAACAGGAGGGGGGCCAAGGTTGCAGGTTTCGGCTAATTAGATTGTGGCTCGTGCGAGACAGGCACAGACAACAATATTAAACGAAACGGATACGCACAGGAAAGACTGGCACTTCATTCACTAGGAGAAACCACCGACAAGTTGGACCAAAATAAATGTAGATGGGGCTTCAGCAGGCAATCCAGGAGTGGCCGAGCTAGAGGGATTATGAGAAATGAGTTCGGTATATGGAAAGGAGGGCTTGAGATGCAGTTGGGTGTAGCTTCGAATATAGCTGCGGAGCTATAGGGAATCATACATGGACTACAGTTGGCCTGGGAAGCTGGACATAAGAGAGTGATTGTCGAAACAGACTCAAAGGCTGCGATGTTGCTTCTGGACAAGCCACTTCACTTGAGCCCTTACTCTAATCTGCTAAAACAAATTGATCAGTGGAGACACAAGGAATGGGAGGTAAGGATATCGCATATTTGGCGAGAAGGAAATAATAGTGCGGATTGTTTAGCTAAAGATAGCCTTAATAAGGAGTCAGTGTTGCATCGTTTACAGAGCCCACCGGATATAGTTCAGCGATGGATGAACTTGGATATTGCAGGAGTAACCACCCCGCGTTTAGTATCTATGTTTTGACCTGCTTAGCTCTCCTTGATAGCCCGAAAGAAAAAAGTAGTATCTATTTTATGCCATGGGTATGGTATCGCTATCCCCACATCAAACATTCAAATTGAGAAAAAATGTGGGCTGATTTCTTGCTAACAATAACATCCATCATTTGATCGCCTTAACCTTTATGGATTTGGTCGGCCTACATCCATCTGTTCATGGACGGATACGGATAAATTTAACTAAATGAATTTACTTGCCACCCATACTCCCAGCCAAATAAAGGAATCTTGAGGTGATTAACAAACAGTCCGTCTGTCATGTATATGTGGGTTGGGACCTTTGTTGGTTTCCTCCTGTTCTGCTTTTTTTTTTTTTTTTTTATATTTGGTTTGTTTGGATAGGGTATTATTTGAAATATTATTTGGAATAATTATTGTAGCATTTTTTATGATGTGATGTATGTGAAATAAAAAGTTGATTGAGAATATAAAAAGGTGAGTTGGGAAATATATTTATGATGCAAGCGAAATATTATTTGGAATAATGTGTGTATCCAAACACTTCCAATAATTATCTGTAACTGAGACCAGAGCTAATGATGAAGTTGGTTCCAAAAGAATCTTCAAAAGCCCCACGCTATATATGGCTATGATGAAGCTGGTGACGGAGGACTTAGTCAATATAAATACTGCTAATTCCTTAGAATGGTTATCTTGTGTTTGATTTCCACAAGGGATAAAATAACCGCCTGGTTAGTTGCTTTTTGGGTACTTCTGTAAAAATGTTACAGTAACACAGTTATTAGTTACTAATGTGTTTGCGAGATTATATTAAAAAAAAAAAGCGATTGAATAAAGTATTTAAATTTCTTTTTAAACATGTGTATGTCTAACATAGGTCCAAAAATAAAGAAATTGGATATACGACTGAATGTCTATATCTCAAAAAGTGTTAACAAAGTGAATTCCTTAATGACTAACACTCAGCGCAATTGATCCGTGTGTGTTTAGAAAGTAAATTATTTAGGATAATTTTCTGTAAAAAATAATGTAGCAATTTTCTTTTTTGATGTAGTATATATAATTAAAAATATATCAGTAATGCAAGCAAATAAATTTTTTGGAAAACAAAGACAATCCCAAGTTTGAATTAGCGGCGTTTCTTTTGGAAGAGAACGAGAATTGCATGTACTCCCAAGTTGTTCGCAATCAGAAACTGGTACAGTTGTACGCGATACGGAAGAGTGGGAGAGACGGCAGCAAGCTGTACAAATTGTACAATCTAATTATACATGTTTTTGACTTTTGATGCATCAACCGCCTTCTTCAACATTTCATAGCTAATTTTGTTTGACTTCTTTGATTATGGTTTTAGCTTGTCCTAATTTTCGTTCTTTGCTGCAATTATTTCAACAATTCTCATCGAGTAAGGCTTTCCCTTCGTCAAGGATGGATTAATTATCACCTATCCTACCCCATCCTATCAAGTGCTCTTTTAGAATTTTTCCTGGTAGAGTGTTCTTCCCTTCTTGCTTGTCCAGTTGTCTTTCGTTTTAACGCTTGGATTCCATTTTGTGCTTGGGCTCCTTCACGCGAAATAAATTTTAATTATTTGATAGCGTATTATTTGAAATAATTACTGTAACACTTTTTGTGATGTAATATATGCGAGATAAAAAAGTGATTGAGAACGTAAAATGGTGGATTGAAAAACGTGTTTATAATGCAAACGAAATATTATTTGAAAATTTTTTATATCCAAATTATGATCCTCGCTGGATGAGTCGGGCATAGTAAACTATCTGATCCAACTTTCAAGTATAGAATAGAAGTACCTGCTGACTGGTTACATCAACTTAAATTGGGCTCTCCGAAGAAATCCCTCACATCTTCGAACATTACACCCGACAACAGAGACAAAGGATCGCATCAGGTTAAATGCTAGTTGGTTTACACGCTGATAAGGATCCGAATGGCGGTCAAGAAAGGCCTGGCAAGTAGCTGTGCAGGCTTGGGGAGCCCGTGATCAAGTTCAGCATGCTGGCATGAGGTTGGAGGTCAGAGCACTAGCCAAGAAAAGCCCACCAATTTGTGCGTCAGTGTTTGGAGCATCTGTGCACTAACGCTGATGCCATCCACCTAGGAAAAAACAAAAGCGAAGCCCATAATCATGATGATGCATGCACTTTTGCATTATAGGACTTCATGACAACCCAACAAAAGAAAACCCGAAAAGCAGAGCCCCAAAATAGCGAAACAAAGATGGTTCGGATTCTGTTAGTGCGAGGCAGGAAAACTGGAACGAGTAGGTGGTGGTCCTAGATTGGTCATTGTTCCTTCGTCCTCCTTTTAAGGGCATCCTATTCTCTCAAACTTCACCTCAGCATAGATTCTGATCTATTTTGGGGGAAAAGGCAGTTACTTGCTGTAGGTTCAAAATACTCCCAAGGCGTTGATACGGACCTTACGGCATGCAATTTCGTCGAGGCCGGCGATGATGGCAATCCCGCAACAGATGTTTTTTCGAAAACAATCAAATTATCACACAATCTTTGACTATTGGATGGAGTCGGATCCTCTCCGATGGATGTGGGGGCAAGAATGATTATCAAAATGACCTATTCTAAAGGATTAACGGTCAAGATTGGATAAAAGAAAAGTGTCAAGGGTTCGGCGTATCATTTTAACGTCATGTCATACGTGAGATTTACAAAATTTTGTTATTTTATATTTAGAATATATTCAAAGTGAATTACACCCTTAATAATTTTACATCTTCTGGAATTTAACAAAATCGTTCAGCTCCTACCTATCATCCCTCTCAGATTCCCTCAATATCATGTCACTTGTCTTGCTTTTTGAAAATATTTTGAAATGGTGAAGCATTCACTACTTTTGCCATTATGGATATTTACAATCACTGACTAGGTTGCTAATGATAAA